TTTTTTTTTTTTTTTTTCCTTTTTTTCTCTCATTTTCCCTTTTATTTTTCTTGCTGGTATCTGTGAAAAAATGTAGCAAGCTTTGGCATTAAAATTACAATCATGCTATATGTATATTTATTTTTACATTATCTTTGATATTGTGTCATACGACGACAATTGAACAATTTTGAAAAAAGAACACATTTTTCTATTCAATACTTCTTAAATTCCAATGAAGCATACATAAAGGTGTGAACCCTAGCATTATTCTAAAGGATATTTCCATTTGTACATTCCAACTTTAACATGGAGTTTGACATTTGTGTGTATATTCAAAACTACTTTGGCGGGAAAGTGTGTTAAATTCAAATCCTGTCCAAAGAAATAACGCCACGATGCACAGTGTAAAACTTGTTGTCAAAGTTAATGTTGTATCCAATGAAGCATACATAAAGGTGTGAACCCTAGCATTATTCTAAAGGATATTTCCATTTGTACATTCCAACTTTAACATGGAGTTTGACATTTGTGTGTATATTCAAAAATACTTTGGCGGGAAAGTGTGTTAAATTCAAATCCTGTCCAATGAAATAACGCCACGTTGCACAGTGTAAAACTTGTTATCAAAGTTAATGTTGTTCTAGCCTGACTCTATTCTAAAAACAACTTTTGCTGTGTATTGTACTCACAGAAAATGGGTAGAATACGCACTAGGTGGGGTTCAATTTTTTTGTCAATATTTTATTCACGTGAACCCCACCTACCATGTGAGATTCTATGGAAATTGTAGAAAACCATTTTTGCACAAATGGTTTTATTGTTCTAAAAATTATAGTAAAGAGACGGGTGACCTTTATTCTTTGCGTAAGTGATTGACTGTGACTAGAAATTTCCCAACATTTTACTATGACTAATGTTATTCATCTTCATTAGGGTTGAATCTCAGTTCATATGATAATTATACGATATTAAATGATAGATTCATTTAAATACAAAATCACATTACTCATTTAATTGAGTCTATCATTTAATACCATATAATTGACACATAAATTGAGGCTCAATCCTAGTGGAGATGAATATCATTGCTCGTATCATTATTCTTTTACTATTGGTCAAATCTCGAAATCCAACACGGAGCTATCCAATAATATTTCGCCAGCTGGACCTTAACTTATTTTCGCAGAAATTTCCGATAAGAGTCAGTCTCGTCGTGGTCGTTCCAAATTCGGTTTTTTCACTCCTCAAATGATAATCATCTTTCAATCCCTCTATTGCTAACCTATCATCGTCCAAAGGTCAATCTTCTTTCTTTCTCTCTGTAATTTTTTCTTACTTTGCGTTTTTAATTTTTAATTTTTTTGGCATGCTTAATTTCTTGATTACGCCAGATCCTGCAATGTTTGTATTAATTCGGTTAATGATAATGTAATCCCCCTTTTTTAAATTAAAATTCTCAAACCTAAACCAAACTGTTTTTGACCGGTTTGGTTTGGTTCAAAACCATTTCGTTGACGGGTCCACGTGGCACTAAACAGCAGGTTTCGAAATTGCGATTTCAATTCGATTTGACGATTTTTGCTTACAGCCCTAGAAATTGTGTTACACCATTTCTGCACAAATGGTTTTATTGTTCTAAAAATTATTGTAAAGAGACGGGTGACCTTTATTCTTTGCGTAAGCGATTGACGGAAATTATAGAAATTTCCCAACATTTTACTATTTGTCAAATCTCGAAATTCAACACGGAAATATCCAATAATATTTCGCCAGCTGGACCTTAACTTATTTTCGCAGAAATTTCCGATAAGAGTCAGTCTCGTGGTCGTTCCAAATTCGGTTTTTTCACTCCTCAAATAATATAATAATCTTTCAATCCCTCTATTGCTAACCTATCATCGTCCAAAGGTCAATCTTCTTCCTTTGTCTCTGTAATTTTTTCTTACTTTGTGTTTTTAATTTTAATTTTTTTTTTGGCATGCTTAATTTCTTGATTACGCCAGATCCTGCAATGTTTGTATTAATTCGGTTAATGATAATGTAATCCCCCTTTTTTAAAAAAATAAATAAATAAAAACCCCTAATTTGATATGGCGCTGAATTAGACACCATATTGATTTGACTTCTTAGAAAATAGAATCTTGTTTGAAGATAGTTCTGTGTGTCTGAGTTATGTAATTTGTGGAGAGGGTTTGTTGATGTCGGTGTTTATATTGCATAAAGGTGTTGTCTTTTATAGGATATCTGTGCTTTTTGTTATTTTTTCTTTTCTGATTAATAATTTACATTTTGATAGGATATTTGAATGTTTTGGGGTTGAAAGATGGAGAGTGGGTTTGGGGAATCGACAAGCAGGCACCGCCCCAGCCCTTCTTTCTCTAGCAATAACAATAACAACAGCGATGCCGGGAATTTTGAGTGCAATATTTGCTTTGATTTAGCACAAGACCCTATTGTCACACTCTGCGGTCACCTCTTTTGCTGGCCTTGCCTTTACAAATGGCTTCATATTCACTCTCGGTCCCAGGAATGCCCGGTTTGTAAGGCTCTTATTGAAGAGGAGAAATTAGTCCCTCTATATGGCCGAGGTAAGAACTCAACTGACCCTCGGTCTAAGTCAATTCCTGGGATGGAGATTCCACATCGGCCTGCAGGACAGAGACCTGAGACAGCTCCTCCGCCAGATCCTAACGTTAATGCTTTTGCACAACAAGGATTTGGAGTTATGGGGGGCGTTGGCCCCTTCGGGGGGTTTGCACCTATGGCTACTGCGAGATTTGGGAACTTCACATTATCTGCGGCACTTGGTGGTCTATTCCCCTCATTTTTTAACGTTCAGGTGCATGGATTTCCTGATGCCAACATGTATGGAGCCGGTCCTGGTTTTCCCTTCGGGTATTCGAATTCTTTTCATGGCGGACATGCTCATGGATTCCCGCATCGTGGAAATCAGCAGCAGCAGCAGGCAGATTCTACCCTAAAATTGCTCCTGTTGGTTATTGGTTTGAGTGTACTTGTGACTCTCATTTGGAGTTGAGGTAAATTTATCGTTGGAGATTGATTTGCCATCCAATTGCCAGGATTATATGGTTTGCTTGTATATTTCATATTTGTTAGTGCATTTGTGTGCCTTTCCTCCTTTCTTGTACTTTTTACTTTTTCGATTTAGATGACTGTTTATGTAGTATCATTTGTAGTTGTATAACTTTTTTGCACGTGTAACTGTAAGATTTTCATGGTTGCTAACTTGTGTCACTTTTTGAATCATTGTCCTTATAACCCGTCCTCCCGTGTTTTAAGGCATTTTACATTTGGTGTTGCAAGACATAAGCTTGAAGATGCTTAGAGGTATTCAAAAGTACAACAATATGCTCATATATACTATATATGTACTGATGTACATATCTTGAAAATCCACAATAAACAAAATATCAAAATGACAAGTCTAACGTGCAAACAAACACAAACTACATTAGTAAGTAGAAACAATTAGTTCTCAAATTAGTAATTAAATTTTCATACTTCCCTGCCTAGTGCGCTGTTAAGTGTTAACTGTGCAGAATGGTTATATGTTTGCCAAAATCACTATACCCTTTACTCTGGAAAGATACATGTAGTTGCATATATGGACCTTGCTGAGGTAAATTTTTCTGAGGCTGACCTATGCAAGCTGGTTGAGTGGCCATTCTTAGGTTGACATACCAATTGGCTGTCCGACCAATGGTCGAATACGTAAAAGAACAAGGAAAAGAAAAATTTCTATATTGTTGATCTAATATGGAGATTTCTTCTGGTTTAGTTCACACTGTAATCCTGCACATGAAAGTTCATTTCATAAATCAAGTCGAGAAGATAAATAAATGAATGATTTATAGCAATGAAATAAAGTTTGTGTACTATGTTACCAGGTTCAGAATCAAAGGTAGACATAATTGGCTACGTGGCATATGGATTGTTTGTCCAAGAATATAGAACTAGATGAGTTCATTTTCACCAGAAAGTTGGGCATTCATTAATTTGTTATGTTGAGTTTGTACCCTTTGTGTTTCTTATTTTGCTTCTTTTCTGTTTGGTAATGGAGAATCCATTTGTGCATAAACTATCCTAGACACAATGCCTATAATTTTCCCGAACTGCAATAACTTAACTTCGGATCATAGAATCACTTTGCACCTCATGTTTATAGTTGCTAGAAGGTGAATATAATCCTACGTATTCAGTACAACTGGATCCCGGTTGAAATTCTTGTTGCCAATTCCCTATTTTCTTTTTCGTACGATAATCAGCATTTTTGTCGAACTTCATTATTCGACTGACTTAAAGATACAAAGATTTGGCCTCCTGTTTAGTTGTTTGAGACTGCATAACCAGATTGTTGTTGACACCCCACCTGCTATTTTGCAGTGTTATGCAACTTGGAAGCTTCAAAATCACAAGGATTTTGTTGATTCTACCTTACTCATTTTCGGTAACAGAATTATCTTGTGGTTAATTGTGGAATATTGACTTGTTTAATTACTAGCTTCAAGAATGATTTAGTACTCAATTATCGTACTTGTTCTTCTTAGCTCAAGTGCACATTGTTGTTTTGTTCGATAAATAGTCGGTCCTGAACTCGTACCTTTGAGGGTAGGTCGATTCAAAGTCGGGATTATTTTTTATCAAAGTGATTTCAAAGATTAGTAACACATCACTTGTAGGACTGTGACCAAATATCAACATTTCTACATTGCAAAGTTACAGTGTTGAAATCAAGCACAAAAGAAATAAAAGAAATAGAAACAACTTCCGCATAAAGGAGACTAAACAGGAACAAATGGATCCACACATGTATGATCCCTGTTGAATCAATTATAACATGATTTCATCAATGGCACTTTAATATGAAACAAATAAAAATCACTATCAAAAGGGAGTAAGTTAAACAAAAAATAATTATAAAATATTTCATAAATCGGTTTCGTCAAATTTTTCTTGTTATGTCCCGACGTGTTGCTACATCACTGGTGGACAATATATTTCCTGGTCACTATGAACAAAATCGAATATCATGGAAATTGTTTTGTCAAGAAAATTATACCTTTCAAACACCCAAAAACTTGGAAAGTGGAAAATATGTTCCATTGTCCGTGGAAAATCTCACATTTCAAACAGGGTCTAAATTTTTCTTTAAAGCCTACATAAATATTTTTTAGACAATGGGTTGTCCTTATAAAAAGCAATACATTCTTGGTGATTCTAGGTGGGTGGGACCCTTTTGGTTCCTTTGTGACCCCACACGGTTTCATGACATTTTCATTCAACGTTTTGTCATGAATTCGTGCAATGAACTTGAATCATATTCTAAAATGTACCAAGTACTGCTACTTCATGGAAGACGAGTCTGGAATGGGTACAAGGTTATGAATAAGTTGACATTTGACTTGATGACTCAGTAATGCAGATTTACGAATTTACCAGAAATAGATGCCCATACAGATGACATTCATTTGTCGGATGCCACAAAATAGTTGCTGACAACATGAATATGGGAAAAATATATCTAAAATTAGCATCAGAATATCTTTGTAGCATTTTCTGTTTTGGAGGACGCTGTGTGATGTCTGTTTCCAGACTGGCTTTGGACTACTTCAGAGAAATTTTAAACTCGGTTGAAGGTTCATAATCTGGGGAAAATTAGGCTAGACGACGCTTAAATTACATAATAAACAAATATTTCGTATATGTTTCTTCTTTATATTAAAGCTTAACTCGTTCGATATTTCTCAAAGCTTTATATTAAAACATTAGAATAAGTTAACATTAATATTCTATTTAAATACTTCAATGCGCATGCAAACTATTAAAAAGAAAAGCACTAAATTGTATAAAATTAGTGTTGAGTTGTCCAGTTTTGTGACTGTGTGTCCTGATAAGTTAAAATTGGAAATTCTTAGTTCTTAAGAATTAATAAATAATGAAACCCTCCCAATGGTCATCAGTTCGAGTCCCATCAGGGCCACTGAGGTGAGTACCCGACCGTAAACTTCAGAGTCCCGTGAAATTATTCGAGGTACGCGCAAGTTGGCCCAAACATCCACGGTTATCAAAAAAAAAAATAATAATAATGAAACCCTATTTCCTGTCTTAGATAAAAATGGATATCTGGTTGCTAAACCACTATTTTCAAGGAGTGCATGTGGGAGAAATATCAATTTATAAAACAAGGTACCAACAACCTTGCAATTTGGGGCGTGTTTGGTAGAGATTAAAATCGTATTAAAATTGAAAAACTAGCCGTTATTGTTAACTTTTATTAAACGAGCGAGACCCAATAACGGCTATATTTTCAATTTTAATTAGATTTTAAGCACGACCAAACACTCTGATCATAAAAAAAAATTACAAGATGAAATAGAATTTATAAAATTGATCGAAGAAAAATAGAATTTATAAATTCAAGTTTAACTCGGAAAATAATTCAAGTTGTGTCCATCCCATGTGCCGAATGAGCTACACAACCAACGATTAAAGTTCTATCCTATCTACTTTGCTGCTATTTCAATGACCTTTTTTTCAATAATTCACTCTACTTGCTACTTTTTATGGTGAATTGATAAGCTATGGATTAATTGTTGAATCCAAATTTCGTACGTTTAGAGGACCCTCTGAACCATTTCTGCCATGGAACACCCACATTTGGTCCCCAATGTACCACTGTCATCACTTTTGAAAAGCTAAAATCTTTAACGTGCCCATTCAAGTGAAGTAGGTTATAGTATTAGACAAGAAAAAAAATAACAATTTCAGCCAAGTCTGATTATTTGTTCAAAAATAAGTGGAGCGAAGAATCGCGCGCGCGGTCATACCATGTGTCGAAATAGGGAGTTCGCACACTCTAGGACACCGTTACTCGTTGAAACATAAGTGATCTTCAAAAGCGTCTCTGAGGTGAAAACTAAAATTTGTGAATTGGAGTAGATCAACCGAGCTACAAGTTTTACATGGACTACTATCAGACACCTCTTCCATTCGATGATATATTAGAAATTAAGGGTCTACATTTGGCTTCTTCTTGCTTTTTATTATAACCAATTCTTGTTGCCGAATCGAGTGGACTTGTCTGGTATCAAACTCTAAAAGAGTTTTCTTCAAAGTGAGCTGTCTTTCTATGTCTTATAGTAAAAATCAATAAGAGACTATGGTAAATAAAAATTCTAATAAATTGATAAATATACAATTAACGGAAATTCAAGAACAATGTGTGAAACCAAAGAAGTTCAATTTGAAATTCTTTGACTTAGCCCCTTTTGGTCTCTGCAGCCCAGCCAGCCATCCAGCTATACAAATAAGACTGTCCCTTTAGTTTAACTTCAAATTTATACCTTGTTACCCCTATTCCACCCACCCCACCCCTACCCCCAAACCCAAAATAAATCCACTCGATGTCTCTCTTTTCCAATTCTAAACTCCTCCACATGAAGCCTAAACAAACAGTCCACATTTTATTTTTTCTCTCTTTCAACATATTCTTCTCTCTAGCACAAGAAAATGTTAGAACTACAATTCCACAACAATTTGGAGAAGCCCCTAAATTCTACAATGCCCCTGAGTGCCCTTCAATTATCCACACGATGAACAATCTCTCTGACGATGATGATTCCAACGACGACAAAAGCAATAATAACTATATATGTTCGGACGAGGCTGTCCATATGGCAATGACCCTCGATGTTACATACATCCGAGGCTCAATGGCGGCAATCTTGTCTACTCTCCAACACACGTCATGCCCACAAAACATCTTCTTCCACTTCGTCGCATCAGCCGCGGCCAACACGTCCTTCCTCCGCACCACCATCGCCACCTCGTTCCCGTACCTGAAATTTCAAATCTACCGCTTCCATGACTCTTCCGTGGCAGGCCTAATCTCCACCTCCATCCGCTCTGCCCTCGACTGCCCTCTCAACTACGCCCGCAGCTACTTGGCAAATCTTTTGCCACTCTGTGTGAGGAAAGTTGTGTATTTGGACTCAGATTTAGTACTAGTTGACGACATTGCTAAATTAGCAGCTACTCCACTTGGTGATGACAAAGTTTTAGCAGCACCAGAATATTGCGATGCGAACTTCACCTCCTATTTCACTCCCACTTTCTGGTCAAGCCCTTCTCTTTCTTTAACCTTCGCCAACCGAAAAGCTTGTTATTTCAACACCGGAGTAATGGTGATCGATCTCGACCGGTGGCGGGACGGGGACTATACGACAAAGATTGAGGAATGGATGGAGTTGCAGAAAAGAATGAGGATATATAATTTGGGATCATTGCCACCATTTTTGCTAGTTTTTGCTGGTAACATAGCTCCTGTAGATCACAGATGGAATCAGCATGGTCTTGGAGGAGATAATTTTCGAGGGCTTTGCCGGGATTTACATCCGGGGCCGGTGAGTCTACTGCATTGGAGTGGGAAAGGTAAGCCTTGGGCTAGGCTTGATGCTAACCGGCCATGTCCATTAGATGCACTTTGGGCACCTTATGATCTGTTAAAACCTCCATTTTCATTCGATTCTTGAAGTTCAGATCAATCTGGAGGCCTGCTGGTTAAAAATTGAAGAACGAGGGATTAAAAGTGAAAAAATGTCATGACAAGTGTATAGACACAGATGAGTGTATCTAGCAAGATAGATGCACACGCCATCATGCCTTTGCTAGATGAAATATACAGTATACTTTTCTCCCTGTAAATTTCTATGGCCGCTTCTCCAGATCGTAGGGATCTTCAACGTTCATATTTTTGTTTGTAATAAGGAAATAATCCAAAAAAGGATTTAATGAATTATCTCTGTATTGTATAGATAATAAAATTTTTGGTGGATTTATTCAAAAATGTTTTATTTCGATTAATTGAATGATTTTCTTAACACTTAAGATTTCACTTTCAAATATTTTTTTTTCACATTTCATAATCATCGAATTTGCTTTCAGAATGATGACTTCAAGAGGAAGGATGTTAGACAAGGTAACATGTAAAAATGACATTATTCTGGAGCCACCAGATGTCACGTTAACTTTTTTTTTTTTTAAAAATGAATTTTCTTGAGATATTCTAATAATCTCTTTTATTTTTATATGAAATCTTTGAAGTATTCCAATCATATATAACTTTCCGAACGCCAGCGATTTTTCTAGTGTCATTTGGCTTTTCTTCAATTCTTTATTGTCTTTTGCTTCAACTTTGATGTTCTAATATTTTTTTTATTGGGAATTTACATAATTAAATTGTGCTTTAGTGAAGATATCATTTTTTCTTTGTTTGGAAGGATAATAATATAAGGGTCAGTTTTGATATATAAAAGTGGAAAGGAATTTCAATTTCATGTTAGTAGGAAAATAAAAACCCACCAAATCCATAGGAATTCGTTTTTTGTGAAAATAAAGAAAATGCAGTTTAAAGTGGTTGTACGTTGGAATTCGGTTTCCATTTCCATGTTGCAATCAAACGGTCAAAATTGA